CCGCACACACACACCCACACCCACACCCACACCCGAAATTCTTGCTTTTTGCTTCATTTTTATGGTATATTCTCCAAAATATGTTGATCAAAACTCAATCTCTTCTTGCCTTCTTTTAAACTAATGTTCACAAAGTAGATATACAAATTGTTAAATAGTATTGGAATGATTTGAGATTAACCACATCTGAGAGAATATTCATCAATTTTTTAAAGTAATACTCAAACATCATTATAATATAGATTATGAGTTTGAAAATCAGAAATTACTTCAATTTTTTTACTTCAGTTTATTATTTAATATCATTTAAGTCGAAAATGTTCTGATTTAATTGCGTGTACATGATTCACTATCAGTAAACCACTCAGGTGAATCGTGTTGTTAGTAATGTATATATCTTTTGTAATTACGTTCGCGGGGTATTGCATAGCAAAAACGAATTAAGAAAAAGGTAAAAACCAAGTCAATGTAAAATGAGTAAGAAACGTATTACGTCGCTTTGTTGGAAAAGTAAAAGTCATTTGACAGAATAAGCAGAAGCTCAACACACAGGTTTCTCCATTTATGCTATTTTATTCATTACGTCGCAGTGAGTAGCTTCTAGAATAATATCGAAAGCAAAAATAAGTTTATTAAATAAAACAAGTGTAATATCCAAAATGTTTACACAATGGATACAATTGGCAATTGATAGGAATAATGCAACTTCTTTTGCAGATAATCAATTAATAAATGTTTATGAGTTCGTAGCTCATGTATTTCTTTTCTGTTCCCTATTTAATGTATGCAGATTTCTTTCTATTGCATAATTAATTTACTTAGTTTTTTTCCTAGATATCATGCATTATATTTAGCTAATGCGGAACGAACGATGAAGTACTACCATAAAGTAATTAAGGTTTTGACGAGAAAAAGTGTAAGAATGCCATAGATTCAGCATTAAAACATTCATGTCAGTGATCATGACAGCGAAAATCTCCGCATCTTCTAGTACTATTTGTAAGTCAATTTGGAATTCTTCGAACCAAGTAATAATCAAAAATATTTTAGAATAAAGATCATTGAAGTAAAGTACAAGGCATCAATGGAAAGTAGTTATGTTTCGTGTCATACATTAATATCTAGGAGAGACAGACACTAGCTAGATTCTATCTAGAATTTTCTCTGAAAGAATAGTCGAGATAAGTCTGATATTGACTGAAAATTTTGCATGCGACATCTTCGTGTAACAACATATGTTTTTCCAATCTCTTCGTGTTAACCTAATAGTTGTTTTCAAATTTTATGAATTCGATTAATTTCTATGATTTTGAGCACAATTTTTTTCATTCATGTACATGCATTGAATGATGTGGAAACAAAACATCTTTCTGTTATTTATATTAGTTAGTTGCATTAATTCAATAACATGGAGTTCACGAAGTCAATGAATTGATTAATAATTCAAATCTTTGATATTTTCTAATAGGAAAGTTTTATCTATGATATTAGTTAAGATATATTTGGGTTTATTCAATATACTAGCTTTAAAGAAAAAAAGAATTTCGATCACATAGAAATTTACAGCGCTGAGTACACAATTTTGGATCTTAATAGAGTGTGCTATGGTATAGCCAAAAAAACATGCAGCAAGTCATAGATGAATGCTTTGGACAGCTAAAAATATTGTATTGGTTTTTCTCGAAATTGAGTCAAGTGGTTATATATTTCATCGAAGGTATGAAAAATACAGAGATATAGGATACATAGAAGGTATAGAAGAGATGATATACTCTAGCAAAAAATTTGGTCTTCTTCGAGACAATACATCACAATAGGCTATGGAAACGATGATTAAAACACATAATCAAAGATCATTAGACAACATAATGGCAAATTTCTTACACTTCTCGATAAAAAGCATAGAAAACTTTGCAATATTTGAAATAAAACGTTGTCGTAAACGAAGAAAATTAGGTGAACTGATGTCAAGTGCATAGAAAGAAGAAAAAACACATTTAGATGTATCTAGGATTTCTTTGCTTAATTCTTGGTATACTTTTCTGGAATTGATTCAACTACTTGCATAATCTTTTTGTTTACTTGAACATCGTTCTTATAGTTCAAACAAAATGTTATATATCTAATTATATTGATTATGCACATGTTAATATATCTTTCTTGTAGAATATGTTAGATAGATAGAAATATTATAGGTATCAGAGTTGATATCAGTAATTATTCCTTTATATTATTTATTTTATTGCTATACTTCGTGGTATGAATGGACTGAAATTCCTCATGAACGCCATTAGTTTTTTCTTGATATCGAACATCACGAATGAATAATGATCACAGTTGGTTAATTTCCAATGTCTTGCACTTGTTTGATTTGCACTAGAGAATTCTTGACTTGACAGAATAGAGAAACAAACATGGAAAAAAAGTTCCATTTCCCCAAACTATGATAATGAATGATTCTTTAATTTATTCATTTCTATTTCAGTCGAAAAGTAAACTCACATTATTATTAGTGTCACCAAAACTGAGTTGTTGTTGGTTGGCATACAATGACGATCGCATCGCATCGTAGGGTTTTCTTTTATTTATTAATTTTGATAGCAATATTAGTCCCATTGCGATCCATACATGCGCAAGGTGCAGGTGGTGGAGGTGGAGGCGGAGGAGGAGGTGGTGGAGGTGGAGGTGGCGGAGGTGGTGGCGGTGCAGGTGGCGGAGTTGGAGGTGGAGGCGGTGGCTCAGGTAAGTAAAAGACCAATGAAAAGACAAATGAGTTTCTAGTTTCGAAGTTACAAGTATCTCGTCAAGAGTATTTGTCTATATCACGAACAGTACCTCAGGCAATCTGGTTAACAGATGTCATGATGAACGAGCATAGATAGTTAAATTCAGTAGCGGTTCTATTCAAGATTATTCAAGAATGAAAAAATATTATAATTCAAAATACACCGACAGTTATTATCTATGGCGTAGATACTCCGATCATGAATTCAATGTTTCCAGTATAATTTATATCTATATAGTTCATCATGTTTAGGAAGTTAGCTTAATCACTTTATTTGCTGATAAACCCAGATATGTGTCCAGGAAATATGTGATGTTTAATATTTTTCACAATAAAACTTACTTTTGTGGAAGAGGAGTTAGCTATGAGGTTTCAAATTGTATCCATCGAGTTTCAAGATAGATGTATCTCGCATATGCATATAGCAGAGACGCAAAGGATGGGTTCTAAGTAATATGGTTTGTCGTTAAAGTGTTTGGTGCGTTTGCTGTGATTGAGTATTTCTTAGTAAAATTTAAAGAATTTCAAAGAACCAAACTTGCTTTTAGTACCGTATTTCTTACACAGATTTTGGACTCTACTTGGTTTACAGCAGATTGTACGAATAGTTTGATAAAGATCGCGAGAAATTCAATGAGCTCAAATGACATCATAAAACAAGAGGCTGAGTAGAATTTATAACGTAGCTTATCTACATTAATATGATCGCTGAAGTATATCAGTATGTAAGATTACTTTTTCATTGGAGATTATTTTCATCTTGTTAATCCAAGATCTGTTTCCATCAAACATCTAGTGAGTAGTACCTGATCAGCTTGATTAGTTCGGTTCGGAACAGCTCGAAATATTTGAATTTTAATATTTCTGCCTGTTATCAGCTCGACAATATTCGTGTTCATTGTTCAACACGATTTAGAAATCTTTTCTCTTCGTTCTATAAATTACAATTTAATGATTGAGCGAAATCGGTTTGAGTGAAGAATGAATATCTAAATATCAGTTCATGTTCACTAATTAATTTTTTATATAACTTCATAACACTATTACGATTATGCTTGGACACGTTCAATTCTCGATGTTTTTTTTTATTTTAGGAAGTAGTTGTACTACTGAAAAATGTCAACGTAACTCACTGATTGTATTTCTTGTGATATTTGGTACTTGTGGACTATTTTGCCTATGCCCTTTCATCTGTAGTTCTTCATGTTGTCAAGATCTTAAGAATCTTTGCCATTCGATCTCCACTTGCAAATGCTGTCGAACAATACCACACCGATCGAACCCAACTAGTCTTGCGCTGACTGCACTACCACGTACAATGCAATCTTCAAATACAAATACGAAATCACCTTCCCCACCACATCCTACACAGCCTCTCATATTACACATGGAACATCCTCCTATTTCTCAGACTGAACTGTCTTCAATTGTGCAGGATGCATCACAGACAACAAACATCTTTCAAACAGGTCCTTATAATATGCGTTATTATCAATATTATAAATGGCATGGACCTTTTCTTGTTCAACTTGAATTCAACGATGGAAATATACGAGGTAACGGTGACGATGATGTTGGTTTATTTGATGTTACCGGAAGCTATTCAACAAGTGACAATCATGTAATAATAACAAAACAATATAAACGCGGAACTGGTGATCCGCATGAAAATCTTGGACATCAAGTTAAAATTGATTTAAAATGGAATGATCAAACACAACAATTTGATGGTCAATGGACTGTCAGAACATCAAACTATTCTGGTCAAGATAAATTCGAATTGAAATTAAGACAACAAGCAGAGTCAGTGTAACCTGATATCTGGAACATTTTTACGAAAACGAATCGACTAATTTTGACAAAAAATTCAATATTGATTTTCTATTAAATTTTCTATAAAGTGATGCTACGAATAAAAATCTAATCCAGAGAACAGAAAATAAGTTCACTTGCCAAAGATCTTTTGAATTAATTTAGAAGCTTAGTCAAGTTTATTAGCTATGAGAAAACAAAAAAGTAGTTCTATTGTATTTTTTGTGGAGCGAGAAGGGAATGGTATTCAAATTCAGTGGAATTTAAAAATTGACCTAGAGAAGGGTGTGGGTGTGCCGATATTGATGACACGGTTCGATGATTCTCCTTTCTTCTCTGTCTGTTCTCTTTCCGTTGTTCTAATATATCTCTCCTGTCTGTGCTGATATTGATGACACGGTTCGATGATTCTCCTTCCTTCTCTGTCTGTTCTCTT